GGGAATGGCGGTAAAAAACAATTACAAACCAACATCAGATGCCCAAAGAATAAAAAAAGTCAAATATTTATGGCGTTGTCTTAAATTTTATTGCAATTGAATTTTATAACATTTTGCGCCCGCAAAGCCATAAAGTTGAATTCATTAATAAAATTGAAATTATTGACGGTGTGCCTTTTTATTATTTAAACAGTAATCTATTATACAATTAAAAGCTTACTGCTTTATACCTTGCAACATTAGTTTGTATCGTAAATAAATATAATACTATCAGGTAAAACAAAGTAAAATTGAAAATTTCGACAACTGAAATATTTTTATTTCCGGTCCGGTATTTCTACCATCAAAATGGGAATACTTTTCAATATTTTGACCGGTAGGTACGTATTGCTATTCATTTTCTTTTTATCTACAAAACTTATTTACACTTATGTCATCTCATCACATAAATCTCCACGTTCTAACTACGTTACGAGTATATTTGTGATTTTACTCTATATAAACTGCTTTTTCGTCTACAGTTAAAATGTCAATGAATAAACTATGCAACGTTAGACGTATTTTTTGAAAAACCCTATTATTTTGAGGTGCTAATTTGGGAGAATCATAATATGTAAATAAAAAATGTACCATTGTCGACTACAGAAAGAGAAAAAGTGGAAACGTCGGCTTTTGATAAAATAAAGGAAGAACAATTTCTTCTTTTCGAAAAAATACAAACTGAAATTCGTTTTTAAGCTATTGAATTTATTAGCGACGTAAACATGTCAGCAAGTTATCAGTTTACGTTTAAAAGATCTCCCATTTTGAGGTTTTTATAGCCTCAACACCGTCTAGCAGAATGCACGACGCAGATTGTACCAATGAAGTGTCTTCAGTGATGAAAGCTTAGCCAGTGGTAGATAGCTATCGATTGTGTTGTGTTACGTGTGGGTGTTCGTGACTGACCTCGTCCTGAGGGTACAAGATTGACGTCACCGCCTTCACTCACCTTCACTGAGCGCTCATCCCGGACGCGGCGCGCGACCCCGGACACCGTCCATCCCGGAGACGAGCCACGACACGACACTCGGAAGGGACGCGTTCCGTCCGACACGACGACGTCCGATCTATTTGTCTTAGTGAAAAAATAAACAAATGTGTGACCGGGCCGCGCGGCCGTCCGTGTACAGGAAGCGAGGATAATAGTGAGGTGCTCCGTCCGGTGGTGGAGTAGCGCAGGGCGGGGGCTGTGGCGCTGTCAGGGGTGTGCCACGCCCTGGAGGCGGGGCCTGCGTCCTCGGGGCCGCTCTCTCTATCTCCACTGATACGGTCCAGCGCTGGGATACGATAACGGAATGGAGACCATTCTAGCGTTTTAACGTTTAGAAGCATTATTTATGTCGCATTGTGGTTATCTTTTTCGTATTTTGTCAATATTATCTTCGTTCCCGAGTTGAATATGACATCAAATTTTATAGAAATCTCTAAAGGATTTCGGAGGGTGTTTCGGGATTCGAGTTTTTGCGTTTACTAAAAGCATTTACTGTGCTTCGTCAATTGAACGAACTTGAACGAACAAACCCAAAAATTTGAATATATTTCAAAATATCTTTAACACAGCGGTCACTAAGGAAAGTCAATGAAAAGTCAATTAAATTAATACTGAAATCGAAAGTCAATTATATACAATGATATGTAAAACAAAACGTCGTTGAACCGTAACACCCACAAACCGTCAACCCCCCTGCTGTTTACGCTGCGATCGCGACATTTAACCCTACAAACGACGTAGGCGAGTTAAGTCCGTAATTAGCGGTGCTCAATGAATGCGCGCTAATCGACCGGGGAGGGTCGGAGCGACCCGGAGCAACGCCTCCGCTGTAATTCATGACTTTCATGTTGTTCACATACAAAACTATTTACTTTTATAATTTATTGGACACTTCGAAGCGTAATCAACTCGAGATCCAGATATTTTTATTTTTATGAACGAGAGATTACTGGTAGCCCGGAGGCCTCTCTAGTATCACCAGGACAGGTGGACGAGCAGAGGCTCAGCCAGGAGAACATAATCCAGAGATGCAAATCGCATTATGAAAATAATAAAACTCAGAATCTTCTACCAATGAAACGCTCTTAATTATCACGCTAACTCACGAAGCAAAAACAATCATCCGAATGTTAGGTACTTGTTTTATAATTACATGATAGAAATACCGACTATATCTTTCTAGTATCTTGTAAGGTTTTTGGGAGTCGTAGACATAAAGGTATTATGTTTGTTTTAGGGCATGAATAATACTTGAAACTTTTTATTATTCACTTTACACACTAAAACAGAATAGCTTTGTAATCCGTACATACAGCCCACTAAGCTTCTCGACGAATCTTCTGAGTGGGTCGCGATTCCAATGCAGTAGATTTTGCGAAGCGCTGCTCTTGCTAGGGTTTGTGTTAGCAATTTTTTTTTCGGTTGAGGCCATGAGTTCACTTACCCGTCCGCGAGAAGCCTGAATAGCATTTAGACTGCCAGCAAATAGGTAGGGAAAAAATTAGCTTGACCGAAGTGGGCCTTGAAACTATTGCTACCAACGGATCGAAATCAGTTTTAGTTTTACTATTTAACACGTTGACTGCGTGCAGGTCATCTATGCCCTACGCGGCGCAGTGAAGTAATTATGTCAATTTATTTTACTAAGCGCCTGGATTGCCTGACTCTAATTTCTTTTGTTTGCCAACGTATGTTTTAGTCTTTTTCGGTCTTTTAAAAATAGTTTCATTCTCAGTATTTGCGGATTCGTCTTTCCTGGAGCCTATTAGATATTCCGACGCCTTAGTTAGAAGATCGAAGAAAGAAATCGACATAGTTTCATCAGTGCGCCGCGTAGGACACTGGCGACGACCACAGCAGTCAACTTGTTAAAAAAAGTTGCGTATCGATTGCGACGTTCGATATAAACGTGTAGATTATTTGTGACAAAGACAAGATCAAAACACTGAATGAGTTTATGTTTCAAATAAAGTACCTAAACACGTAAAGTATTCGAAAATCGACTTCCACGTTGAAGGAATCGTTTCGTGGAATGATATCAAACATCCGAAAAACATCCAAGTCGAAATACTACCACCAACTATTTTTGCCACGAAGCAGTCATGAGCTTAAGGCGTGAGGCGGCCACAGTACAATTGATGCTACTGCCCAATTCCTCGAGAAGGATGGGTTCTTTCACTTCGTATGTAATATAACCTTTTTTTACGATTGATGGATTACTAGTGGCCCGGAGGCGTTTCCAGTTTCACCAGGACAGGTGGGCAAGCGAAGGTTCAGCCAGGAGGAGTGGGATTTGCTGACAAATACCCGAGCGCCTCCAAGGGAGACCTAACAACTCAAGAGCAGCTGCTTCGCGTATGAATCTACTACCGGATCGGAATCGCGGCCCGCTGAGAAGATCCGGCGAGAATCTCAGCAGGCTGATGTTTAGGTTAGGTTACATGTCGAACTCTTTGTCGAGTTCGACGAGTACGCTTACTGGGGTTCTTAAGCCTGCTCCTAGTGTTAGAGCTGAAGGCGTTTAATGGAAGGGTTAGTATAGCCCTATTGATCAGTTAACAGTTACTAACAGATCGACATCAAGCTCAGCTGTCTAGAACAAAAAAAAAGGGTGCGTGTACTTATGTACGCGCGTAAGAAGTTATACTTTATTTTTATTAAATTTATTTCTTTATTTTATTAAAATTTGAATCAATTTGAAAAAAAATCGATTAAACAACATCCTCAAACACGCATATTGGACATCCCTTTTCTTGACATCGTATAAATTCGGTAATTCTCAGTACGGTTCGGAAAGTTCACCTGCGGCTATATTCAGACTCGCCAAGTTACGTCGGTCGTATTGTAATGAGCGATTTAGTGGGCAACTTCATTTCTGTTCATTTTGTGTCACGGTGCGCGCGCATCGTAAAATTTCACTCTCATCAATTTTTCATAACGTGCCTAAAGAAGTATAACTTCAATAAAAGCATCGTTAAATCTGATTAAATATAATTTAAAACACATGTTAGTTATGAATATTGTAGTGGTTACTAACATCAAAATAGTAAAATTTTATATCGAATTAAACCTCTTAAGATAATATCGTGCACCCCATACAAGCCCAAAAACAAGGGATGACGCAGCTATTCTATTAATTGACTGCCGATACGAAAAACATATTGATTTGATAACCCCGCCACCTGGTCTCACAAGGTGTGGTTCGTAAATATTGACCAGCTGCGAGGGACCATTGCATCAATCACAGGCACGTTCGGAAAAGGATCCCTTTAAGCTGGCCATTCAGTCCAGTATCCCAAGGCCTCTGTTTTCATAGAAAGGATTGATCAACAGGGACCTGAATGCTATTGTTCTTCTGGCTAGAATTATAGCAGTGGATCATTTTTAGGTCACACTGTCGGGTATTTATCCAGTGTGTTCTCGGACACGCGTTCCCAATCCTGTAGAGTGACTGTTACGACTTGCTCGTTGTAAGGTGTTCTGACATTTTCCTCAGTACTATCGTGAGTACTATTCAAAGGCGTATACTGAGTTTTGCGTGGCTTCGAATTACCAAAGCGCGTTCAATTTTCACCCACAAAACAAGTATGTGTATTCCGCTTACCAGAACACGTTAACCATTGTCAATGAAACTGACATCTCGGTACTCGGCGGCTGGCGGTGAGTAACATGTCCGAATATATACATTCAACATTCACAAAAAAAGAAAAAAAAACGTGACCTGTCTAAAGCTTTGAAATTTTTATTTATTTAAAATTAGAAAAAAATATAGAAATTACCTTTATTAGTTGCACAAATCTCTTTCATATATTTTTAAATAAATAAAGCATTGTTCAGTCCTAAACTAAGGACCAATAGTTCTATGTAAACGATCCGTGTATAAGATAACGCCAGATCCAACAAGTTGTATATCTACTCCGTCTTCTGGCATTTTAACCACTAAAACTAGTGCAGCAAAGATCGAATTTCAGTAAACTCTCGGGACAGGCGGAATTGTCTTCACTTCATCGTCCAATGTTGTATCGATGACTGGACGATAGCTTATAGTCACCTTTCCGGTGGCCTGGTCTAGCATCGTTAAACTGTGTTTCCTCCAGTGCTGGTCGAAAGGTTTCTTTGTCTGGAAAAATTAGGATACCACATTTAACTGTGTGCGTTTAGAACTGAGACTTTAAGCAGAACTTCTTTGATCCCTTTTTTTGACGTGACAACGTCTTATAATTCAATGGAGCCGGCTGAACGCACGAAAAAACATGACTCATGCGGCGTTACCTCGCTCTGAGGCGTTCCATTTAAGGCTTGAAGTGCAAGCGAGAGCGCGCAACGAGCGACAAAGAGGCACAATCGGCCTCCGCGTTCGGCAGCGTTCGACATCTGTCTCTCTCCTACTTGAGTGAGCGATGAATTGTATTTATGCGTACAAATAAATGTAACTTTGTCAATTCAATAGTGATTTCCATTTACCGTCTACTCTATATCCATACAAAATATCTATCAAACAAATAAAATTAAAATTTTCATTTGAAAAATGAAACCATTCCATCAGTATTTTTTTATGACGTTGTCACGTTCAACTATCGTCAATAAGCCGACTTTACAGACAATCGATATTTCTACAGGAGAAAGTAGCCGGATCCCCACCCACGCAACAGGTGGGGTATGTGGGAGTTGAACCTCACTAAAAACTCCTGCCGTTCACAGCTGGCGCCCTACTCCGGACCAGGCGGGAACCCAGTCGGAGCTATTGAGACGGCGGGACAGGGTTGACGCAGAGCCCATTACATCCATCCCGCCGTCCCTCTTTGATCCCTTAGAGCAGGAGTCGGGGAACTTTTTTAATTATTACCCCAAAATATTTTTACGTAAGTTGATATTACCCCATGGCGAAGAACAAAAGAAAGAAATCGCTTCTTTTTAGCCTATTTCATATTATAGCCCCCATGATAATTTTGAAAAGAAAACAATAACACAAAAATTAATTTAAACATCTTTTAATCAACTTATCAATGTAAAACCTAGTAATACGTAAGGTTAATAATAGTAATATATGTAATATAATACAGTTGAGGAAAAAAATCGCCCCCACAGAAAATATAAGTAAATGATAATTTCTTGTTATTTTATAATTCATATGATATTTTTCTTGTATTATTAGACGAAAAACTAGTTTAAATTTTATAGATAGCCTCCATAAAAAAAGCTTTTTTAATTTAAATGATTTTTTCGAGTTTGAAATCACAACGATTCTAAAGAAGTTTCACTTCGATATATACTTTTTACTGACAAAAGTTTCATTTTTACCCCCCAAAATTTCATTTTACCCCATTTGTGGTAATTTACCCCGGTTCCCCGACCGCTGCCTTGGGGAATTATGAAAAAATTATCACTAACAGAGAGCGATCTACGAGTATTTTGTATGTCTCGTTACCTGGCCTTCGACTGGCTTGGAATAGTCCATTTCGTCACATCTATGAGGGTAATCGTCTCTGAAATGAGCGCCCCTACTCTCAGTTCTTTTGTGAGCGCTGGCCGTAAGCTGGATGGCCAGTTGCAGCATGTTCTGCAGCTCCAAGCTCTCGACAAGATCGCTGTTCCAGTTGAGACGACGATCCGTGACACGCAGGTCTTTAAATGACTGATACCACTTCAGCATCTCCTGATTAGCTGGGAAGGTAAACGAGTAAACACTGTGTTACGTGTATCCAAAATTAAGATACTAAATTATCGATGAGAATTGGGTTTGGGTAGTCGATAAAAAGAGTGGAGCTACTGGTTCTTTGAAATGTATTTATCTTGCGTGTAACTAATTGCGTTGATAGACGAACGAGCTCTCTAATCGCCTGGTCTTATACCGAAACCAGTAGAGATCACAACGTGAATACCACCACTTACATTGAAGCATGACTTTGAAGTCTCAATATAATTTGTGTGACGGTTTTCCATTGTCTATTGTGAACACGCGACTGTTTAGCGGAAAAAACAGGCAAGACGCCGTACGGGCTTATAATAGACACACTATAAGTAATTAGGAAAATTTCAATCCCTAATTTTTTTATTCTTCCTAATCTGGTAGCCTTAGAGAGTTATGCCAGCGTAGCCAAACGAGTAGGTGAGCTTTCGGGGCTCTAACCTGGGAGCGTTGCTAATACTAGCCCTAGCAAGACCAGAGTTTCGCACAATCTACCGCCGGATCGGAAACGTGACGGCGAGAAACTCAGTAGGCTGTGGTATAATTTACTCGCCGAGCCCTTCGTCGCAAGCGACGGGTTTGACGAGACCAGTGACTGGTGTTTGTGGTACCTAAAAGCACCGATAGTGGATCGGGAGTATCCAAAATGACGTGTAAAAGGCGACGATGACGCCGACAGGATCGGTTGAGTATTTCCTATTTGTAGGCTGGTAACATAAAGGGCTATTCCAGCTATGTTGCGACTGGTAGATAAGCTCCCGGGGCTCACTCAACCTAAAAAAATGTGCCAATATAAGCCCTAGCAAGAGCAGTGCTTCGCAGAATCTACCGCGGAATGGGGATCGCGACCTACTAGGAAGATCAGACGAGAAATTCATACAAATTTCATCGCTAATTACCTTCTTCCAGTAGTTTGGCCTCTCTGAAGACAGCGCACTTGCTTTGCATCGTGTTTCTCATGGCGTTCCTTAGTTCCGCTGTCGGAATGGTACCGTTGGCATCTCGTATTTTAAACAGATTATCCAATGACGCCTCGCATATATTCTAAGTGGAAAAACTTTAATTATTAACTCTGGAAAACATTAAAAATCTGCAAAAATGAAATTGCACACACTCGCTTTCTATATGTAGGATTCTTAATTCTGTAATTAGTAATCGATTGCATAGAATTTAATTTATTACGACGGATAAAATTTATGAGTCCAATTGCAAAGCATGTTAATTTTCTTTCTCTTTTTATTGGAAATATTTACTGTCCAATCTCGCCTTAGTTCCATTTTAATTCACTAATTAGCGTGAACAAACAAAAACCAAAAATTGAAATTTAAACTGAAATAAAAAAAAAAAGTGTTGCATCTTTTGTTTAGACAATGACATTTTCAAATATTACCGTAAGACTATCTCCACTTCTTATTTATCGAAAACACTAGAGCTCGTTCTTTAGTTAAGTTAAACAAAACAAAACCTAAAAATGGTTAACAAACAGCGAAGAAAACGGTACTCGACTGTATTCTCTTTGCCCATTTGTATTTAAACTAGTGGTCCCGCAGTAGTCGAAATTCGACTATAATTAATTGGAATTGTAAGTTTGTACACTATTATGATTCTATTTTATACTTCTATAATCACAAATTTCGCCAAGACTGCACTATAAAAATATTAACAAAGACAAACAATATTTAATCTATTCTCAATTTGACAACACACGCCAAGAACAAGTTTGACAATAAATAGTATGCCTGCGTGTGTGCATCAAATACATGGTAGGTATGTAGTGTGTGTAATGTTTTCTTTATGGATTTAATGTATCTTTTATGCATTATTTAAAAAAAAATATTAGCATTGTGCACTTCTTCTCTATATCCTCTATAAGTGTGGAAAATTTCATACTCCTCCGTCCGCGCAATTTTCGTAAAAAGGGATACAAAGTTTTTGCTTCACGTATTAATATATAGATAACTCCGATCAACTAAAATATGGAGAGATTTTTGTTGCCGCCCAACTAACGTCTTTCAAATCTGGTTGCTTATCGCCCGGCTTGCTGTTCTTTGCAATGTTGATGCTGATTGCCTTGCCGAACACCACAATGTCAAGAATGGAGTTGGCTCCAAGACGGTTGGCGCCGTGGCAGTTGCTGACCGCCTCCCCGGCCCCATGCAGTCCCGGCACCGGGCAATCCTTATTGTTTTCGTGAATCACAACCTGATATGGTGCATAAATTTCATTATTATCCATAAAGCAGTAATGCGTTTCGGTTTGAAGGGTGGTGCAGTCGTTGTAACTATACTGAGACCTTAGAACTTATATCTCGAGGTGGGTGGCGCATTTGCGTTGTAGATGTCTATGGGCTCTAGTAACCACTTGACACCAGGTGGGCTGTGACCTCGTCCACCCATCTAAGCAATAAATAAAAAAAGACGACATATATGTACATTACGGAAATTAATTTCAAATTCGAGTCTCATCGTGAAATGGAATGCTAGGAACATTTAATTTTGTAAACAAAATGCTAAACGTAAAACATGACAATAGTTTCGACGTTGCCAATCATCGTTTTGTTAAGCTACTCACCTCTCCCTTGTAATTGATTGGGATGCCGCCCATCGTATAATGAACCGTCGGCAAGACCGGTAGAGGCTGTGTGTAGACGTCCACTCCGGTGAATGTCCAAGCCGTCTCCGAAATACCGGGCAGCCTCTCCTTGATTACTTCCGGCTTCAAATGGTGCAGCTGAAGGTGAACGTAGTCCTTATTCGGTCCTATTCCACGCCCTAAACAAGTTAAGGCTTCGTATAATAAACCAGCTTTTACATATGGCATTGCTCGCATTATTAAAATATATGTCGGCGCAACGTCACTATTTAGTTAACTAAAAATAGTTAAAGTGAACGGTTTCCTTAATGTTACGCATGTCAACAACTGCTTAAGACGGTATTCAAGAGAATTCATGACTAAATTATACCCACTTTCTACCATAAATACGACTGACTATTGTCGCACAAAACATTCCGGCTCGAGCAGCCGACTCAAGCGGAGCTCTCTGTTTTTATCGTTGTACACTCGAGATGCAATAAATGGAATTCATTGGAAAAGTGAGTCTTAATTACTGTCACCGTGGAAGGCGGTGATGAAGGTATGATGATGAAGGGAATAGCATCAGCAACGATCATCATTTTAAAAACGCCATAGAACCAGCCTCTATCCCTCATATTATTATATATATATTTTTGTCTGGACGAAAGGTAACTATTTCTATTTCTGCTTCTCAAGCTTCGTAAGCGATGAGTTCAAAGAGAACGATGACCGGATCAGTGTCTTTAATTTGTTTCAATGTTAAGTTTTTTTTAGATTAAAACATTATTCGCTCTCACCTTCTCGTATCTCGGTAGCAATCGATCTAGAGACTACATCTCTACTGGCCAGATCCTTGGCTTTTGGGGCGTACTTCTCCATAAACCTCTCGCCCTTGCTGTTTACGAGGAAGCCACCTTCTCCACGACAGCCCTCCGTCATCAGGCAACCGGAACCATACATGCCTGTGTTACCAATAAACATTACCTACTAGATGAGCCATTTAGAAGATTTACAAGACATTACAAGATTTTCCTTTTGAGACCATGGCCCTGCGACTCTTATACAGTGAGCGCATTTTTTATTTATTTATTGCTTAGATGGGTGGACGAGCTCACAGCCCACGTGGTGTTAAGTGGTTACTGGAGCCCATAGACATCTACAACGTAAATGCGCCACCCACCTTGAGATATAAGTTCAAAGGTCTCAGTATAGTTAGTTACAACGGCTGCCCCACCCTTCAAACCGAAACGCATTACTACTTCACGGCAGAAATGGGCGGGGTGGTTGTACCTACCCGTGCGGACTCACAAGAGGTCCTACCACCGGTAAATACTGAAATTACCTGTTCAAAACTGAAATTACCTGTCGGATGAAACTGCACAAACTCCATGTCCTGCAACATGATACCAGCTCTCGTAGCGATGGCGCATCCATCACCGGTGCAAGTGTGGGCCGCTGTGCACGAGAAATACATACGGGGGTAGCCCCCTGTTGCGATCACCGTGTTCTTTGCTTGAAACCTGCAATTATAAATTTAAAGTAGCCAATTAAGTATTAAAAAACATACACGAAACTGTTTTTTTAAGAAGAAGGGTACTGGTGGCCCGGAGGCCTTTCCAGTTTCACCAGGACAGGTGGGCAAGAAAGGCTCAGCCAGGAGTGGTGGGATTTGCTAAAAGCTGCCCGAGCGCCTCCGAAGGAGACCTAACAATTCAAAAGCAGCTGCAAAAAAATTTTTTGATTTGATTTGATTTGATTTGAATCGCGATCCCCTGAGATGATCCGGACGTGGATACTCCGGGTACATAAGGCCTTTTTATAGGAGTAATAAAAAAATTTCAGGAACATTTAGTGAGCTTAGAAAAATTTATTGACACTTTTCCTTGATGATGCTGGCGAAGTCGCGTGTAACAGCTAGAAGATCGTAAATAAGATATAATATAATGGATGCTCAGGAATTGCTCCTGATATAGGTTGGCAGTGGGCGGTGGCGGCTTATACACTTCTACACCATTTTAAAGAAAATATTAGTCTTGTTGCGTGTTATAGTAGTCAGACAGTCCGTCTATTGGCCTAATGAAATTATTTTGCTTATTGTAAATAAAAAGCAGTCTTTGTTGTATCGTAACAATCCCCGTCATGGTAAAGTTCCCAAGGCATTCAATAGGTTGAAGACGGCGCTGCGTCCTCCACATAAATAACAAATTATCATTCATTCCGACGACTACATTTTAGTGATTTGTATTAAATACACAAGTAAACTGTATATATCATAATTATTTATATCATATATGTAGGATTGGTAAGAACGGAACGTATGAAAAGAGTGTGGAACGAAGCGTTGAGATGTTAGTGAGAGAAAACTATGGAGGGTAGACGTAAGGAGAACCGTCTCATATGGGAGGAACTTGAAAGTGTCCCACTTTCAGCACTATATAACAGTTCAAAAATCCGCCAGAATGGCGCTAGCATAGGCACAGGGTATGGTATGTGAAAAATATATTTAATGACTAGAGTAGTTAGTGACAGTGTAATATACAAGACCTCACATTTTTACGTAGTCCAAACTAATTTCGTCAATATTTATTTATTTATTTAATTAAATAAATAAATTTATTTAATTATTTAATAAATAAATTTATTTAATTAAATAAATAAATAAGTAACCTAAAATTATTGCTGTGGTGGAGACATCGATTGTATTTTCAGATTTTTGTGATTTTGTAGTGCTTACAGTTCTTTCGTCCTTTTTTATTTCTCTATCTTAGATTTATTTAAATTTACCCGGTTGCTACTGTAGTGCCCTTATTTAGCAGATTTTAACGGACACTTTTTCACAACAGAGACGATTCTCCTTACCTCTATCCTCCACAGAGAAAACGGAAAGAAAGGGAAAGTGAATGACAGACGGAATGACAGAAAAAAGGAAGATGGCGAGGACGGTTATAAAATGAGCAAGGAGTACATAATAAAAGTGTAAATTAATTTTTAATTATTATTATAATAGGTGATTTTGGAACAGTAGAAGTTTTATTTTAAGGGTTGCGATCCCTATTCGACATATATATACAGTAAACAGGACCATCTTTATTACAAATTTTATAAACGTACTCTATAACAAATAATTTTTCTACGCTTTTATTAACAGAACACAAAATTAAACCATGACATTGCGGCGATAATTTGAACTTTACCCTTCTAAGCACACAAACAGTTCCAATATTAACGAATAGATGGCGTTTCAATCAAGTTTATTTTCAGATGGAAAAACGGCGAGGAGGCTCTGAAACTGCGATACTTTAAGACAAATATTTTTTGTATGGAAACTATCGACATAATCTTGTAGTGGATGCACCCAAAGTTATATGTTGTTAAAGTTATGACACATAATTATTGTGTAATTAAAAACAGAAAATTTAAAAATCATAAATCGTACAAGTCTTTATTTGTTATAGAAAAATTGATTAAATCGATTAATTTTGAAGTCGTCGTGGCCTAAAGGATAAGACGTCCGGTGTATTCGTAGCGATGCAACGGTGTTCGAATCCCGCAGGCGAGGTACCAATTTTTCTAATGAAATACGTACTTAACAATTGTTCACGATTGACTTCCCCGGTGAAGGAATAACATCGTGTAATAAAAATCAAAACCCGCAAAATTATAATTTGCGTAATTACTGGTAGGACTTCTTGTGAGTCCGCACGGGTAGGTACCACCGCCCCGCCTATTTCTGCCGTGAAGCAGCAATTAGTTTCGGATTGAAGGGTGGGGCAGCCGTTGTAACTATACTGAGACCTTAGAACTTCTATCTCAAGGTGTGTGGCGCATTTACGTTGCAGATTTCTATGGGTTCCAGTAACCACTTAACACCGGATGGGCTGTGAGCTCGTCCACACATCTAGGCAATAAAAAAATAACAAAAATTAGTGGTTTCTGAAAATTTACAAAATCCTTCATTAAAAATTAAAAATAGGATAAGCAATATGTTACTGCCATCTACAGGAGCAATAAGAAACTAATCGAAGCGAAGCCATCTAGTGACCGACGCCCGTAAACATTTTTGTTGAGTGCTTGGGTTGCTTATCTATAATTAGTTTATGTGTATTATCTAGGACGGCAAGCTTACACGGGTGGGTATCAATTATGTATGCTGATTAAAGTTGTACCTTTGCCACGGTAGTTATTCGAAAAGAACAGTGAAATGATAGTATATATTGTAATATAATTAATTTATACGATACAACGATCAACTCAAGGCAAAATAGATCTTAAGGTATATTTGAGTTGAACTAATACTGGAAAGTGAGAAGTATCTATCACGCACCGTAATCTTTTGTGGCAATATTATTTCCTATATATCCTATATATTTCCTATATCCTATACCTATAACGTTTTTGAGACAGTGAAAGATGCGATTTCCGAGTAACCTATCGATCTTGTAAATTTTGAGAAACTACAGTTCATCTTTTTTTATTATTTTAGACTTTTGTGTTTGTCCAATATAATTCAGTGAATGTCCCAAAATTTATATTAGATCTGAACAATACTCATTCAAATACTTAACTTGTTTTGTGATTGATGCAATAAAAATAAGCTACATATTATCTACTAATTCTTTACAGAAACGTTCAATCACTGCTACTGGAATTCCGTTTAAGAATATAAAATTGTAGTAACAAAAGTCATCGGACCTTCTAAATTATTCAAACGGACCTGTGTATACTGCTGTCGTCCATGTCGAGCGCTACCGCCCCGACCACAACTCCGTCTTGAATCAGAAGATCTAGCACAAAGAATTCAGCGAAGTGGTCAATGTTCTTCAGCTTGGTGCTGTAGCCGTAGAGAGTGTGGAGGAGAGCGTGACCGGTTCTGCAAAAAATGTTATTTTTGCCTTCAACCACAAAATACGAACTACAGTTTAGTTAAGTACCCTGCAACCAAAAGGATTAGGCACGTATAAATTACAGTAAATCAAAGTGCAGGAGACACACGGATGAATCAACTATTAAGTATTATTAAAATTTTTACTAGTCTACATATGAGGTTTGAAGTCGTGGCCTAAATGATATGCGAAGCGATGATTCTTATCAATGAAATCCGCAATTTTTTTTATTAATAAGTTGATTTCAAGTCTCAAAATGGGTGGCAGCATTCACATTGCTAATTCTATAGACTCCGGTAGCCATTTAACATTAAATAGACCGTCAGCTCGATCATCCGTCTAAGAAAAAATAATCTATCACCGGTCTTTTTTATGATATAATATTGCAATAAATTATTATTTGGATGACAAAACTCGTCATGTTTTAAAAATTAAATTTGTGAAATCGATTAAATGCAGATTTGAAAATGATTCTTGATTAATGAATAGATTACTCGTAGTTCACGGTTTCAATTTATTTTATTTAAAATTAGTGCCATCTGTGAAACTAATATTGAACAATTTAATTTTTTCCAACGCCTCGAGAGATGGCGCTAAATTAAAATTCACTTTTATAAAATTTGAGACAATATCTTCAGTGTGGGCATTACGTTAATAAGCTTATCGACGCTTGAAAGGCAAACATGACTAAGCGACAATAACTACTTTGTACATTAATGATAGGCAATAACCATATTCGACGCGCAAAAAAAATATGTTTCTAGGTCTATTAAAATAATTTCAATCCTACAGCTAGGTACTAGCTAGATTCTACTACAGCTAGATTCGTTAAAATAAATTTTATTTTCAGGTATTTCAGCTTTAAATTAGTCTACTGTAAAGTTCACGCATTGTCGCTTAGTCACGTTTGCCTTTCAAGCGTCGTTATGATACTTATTTAATACCTATCAGCAACACAGCAGGTCCTTTTAGCCACTTCTTTACCGTTGTGCGTGGTACTTCCACCGAAAGGCCTCTGGTAGATCTTGCCATCTTTAGTCCTTGAGAATGGCATACCCATATTTTCCAATTCTATAGCCACGTTTGGTGCTTCACGCGTGAGATAGTGGATTGAGTCCTGATATTATATTAGAGTAATATAGAAACATGCTAACTCAAATATTCTCCATCACTATGCCGGTAAAATAATTAAGTGTTTGCCTATATTAATAACAAAATTTAAAAATAATTATCAAATGTCTCGAAAATATTATGTATCATGTTGATATTTGGCTTTTTAAGACTTGATCAATTAACAGTCCTAAAGGGTGCACAAAATATTTTAGAAATCGTTTACAGTATTTTTTTGGCCTTGCTGATTGGCCTTAAGGAGTTATTTTGGCTCCGTCTTGGTTGGCGAGCTCACGGGGCTTAGCCTGAGAGGATAGCAAACATCTGACCTAGCAAGAGCCGTGCTCCTCAGAATCTACTATCGGATCGGAATCGCGACCTACTGAGAAGATCCAGCGAGAAACTCAGTGGGCTGTGTTTATCAGTATTGGTTAGGTTGTATGTCGAAGTCTTCGTCGCAGAGTTTGGCACAGTGATCGATTCTTGGAATGCCTAAAAGCACCGAGATTGCATCGCGAGGATCTGAAATGACATGTCTAGAGCGACGGTGGTATTTCGTTGCCCCATCGTCAGGATCCGGCATGTAACTTGAAACGTCTGCAGCATTGAACATGAACCATTATTGTAAGAGAAAGTCAGTGAAGTTTTCATTTATGAATCAAATTTTATCATTCGTGAAGTTACGATGAGATGTTAAAAAATAAATTGAAAACCGAAAAAATTGTGCACGTGCAACTTGGTGCGTGTGAAAGAAGTGAAACTTCTTTTGCGGTGTGTAGTATTGTGGTATTATTCATTTTTCATCCTTATATCAAATTTCTTTGTAATTGGAAATGCTGTGTATAAGAGAAACGACCTAGCTCGCTTTCCCGTCCGTTCCCTCTTTCTACGGTCAAGTTTGCGAGACGCTGTCTGCTTTCTCACTCTCGCTCTTCCTAAATTGTATCTTTTCTCACTAGCCGTAACGAATCTGTCGCGAGTAAATTTTATACTCTCAAGGCGCCTAAAGACGTTTCACTTCAAAAAGTATACTGTTTCGGTCAAGTAGAAGTAATTCAACTGTATGTTGGGTGGGTCAGTAATAATCCGCAACTATAAAATGTTGGATCAAAGATATGATAGTATGTTATTGACCCGTTCAGGCTTACCTGATCTCCTAGCCAATCCGAGCCTTTGACAGTATCATAGAAGTGCCAGCGCCAATCATCCGGGTGCATACTACCTGTGGTATCCAAATCAATTTGTCTCAATATAAATACCAATAAATAAAAACTTGGGAACAAATCATGAACGGTCATCCGGCCCCAAATTAGGATTCTCTGTATTGTGGGTACCAGAGAATGACATACGCACTTAAATATGTTTCAATATATACAGGTATAGATAATAAACAACCAAACAAAAAGCAAACAAACCCGTTCATCACACCAAAATTTTTTCAATGTGGGTATAAAACCCACGAGCTTCAGTTCAACAGCTAAGGGCGCTAACTACTGGACCACAGGGCCACCTGGTGTTAAGTGGTTACTAGAGCCCATAGACATCTACAACGTAAATGCGCCACCCACATTGAGATATAAGTTGTAAGTTCTCAGTATAGTTACAACGGCTGCCCCACCCTTCAAACCGAAACGCATTACCGCTTCACGGCAAAAATAGGCAGGGTGGTGGTACCTACCCGCGCGGACTCACAAGAGGTCCTACCACCAGTAAAACCTTCCTTACTTACAACTAGAACTTTAACTAGGTTAAAATAAGACGCACATACCAATAGCAGCATTCATTCCGCCCTGCGCTGCGATAGTGTGGGACCTCGTTGGGTACAGCTTGGACACTACAGCTACCGAGAATTGTTGTTGCGCCAGACCAACGGCGGTTCGCAAGCCTGCTCCCCCCGCTCCGATGATGAGGCAGTCGTGGCAGTGGTGCTGGACCGTGACGCAGGCGTTTCGATGAGGAACTGAAGATCGTTGGTCGAGTTTTTAGCGGCACCGACTGCTATACTACAGGTTGAGTGTGCTTAGTGCGAGTTTTTTAACGTTCTCGACATATTTTTTTCCTCCCTTAGCTGAGAACCTTGGGAGGGTATATCAGCGTAGCCTTAACTAGTAGGTGAGCTCACGGGGCTCAAACCTAATGACGTTGCTAACACGAACCCTAGCAAGAGCCGTGCTTCGCAGAATCTACCACCGGATCGGAAACGCGACCCACTGAGAAGATCCGGCGAGAAACTCAGTGGGCCGTTCTCGATAGCGTTAAATTTAACTTAAATTTGTATGGAGTTGGAACAGCGCCCTTAGCGGCAAACGTTCGAACTTCATACAAATTAGAGTTAACTTTTACGCTATCGAGAACTTTAATAAGCTCGCAATAAGCACAAAGAGTTCAAGCCGGGGTCAGTGTGTCCGTGATAGATATGCGAGTTTAGTAACGCTCTCAATAGCGTAAAAGTTAACTCAAATTTGTATGGAGTTGTTACAACACCCTTAGCGGCAAACGTAAGCAAACGTTCGAACTTCATACAAATTTGAGTTAACTTTTACGCTATCGAGAACGTTTAAAAACTCGCAGTAAGCACACAGAATAATTCAAGCCGGGAGTCAGTGTGTTCGTGATAGATATTTGGTTTCCGAGGTCGAGTATACATATTACTTCTATTTCTGGCTTCGGGTCTATCACTAACACCCGTAACACTGGACTTTTATTTTCGTTCCAAATAAATGAATGTCTCTTTATGGAAGTAGTAATATTATTTTATTTATGCACGCTATGGAATGTTATGAATGATGTTTAATTATGTTTTTCTTGTTTTCGAAGTAGTTGTGGCCTAAAAGATAAAGCTACCATGTTTTTTTTTTCTTTATTGCCCTTGTAGGTTGATCGGCATAGGGCTCACCTGGTGGTGAGTGGTTAGCGTCGCCCATGTCTTCAGCAATACCAGGGGCAAAGCCAAACCGCTGCCTATCGTATCAAGAGTTGGGATTATATTCGTGTTCAAATCACCGCTCATATTAATTATTTTTCTAAGGAAATACGTAGCGTACGAATTAGTTTCACGATGCAATAATACATATATGCAATAATATCCCGTGCATTAATAAATAAGGATCACGCAAATTTTATAAATTTTTGTAATTTTTAATTCCGAAAGAACTATGTAGAAATTCTGGTCTACATCTGGTCGTGTATGCATTAATTCCTTAAAATGTAAGTATAATGAAAAAAAAAATACATTATTAAAAGAAAAGGCTTGGAAAATTTAAGAAAATATTTAAAAAAGAAAATTGTTAAACTCCAAATTTAATTATTTTATGCGTTTTTATTCCGTTTTTTTGTATATTTTTTTTTCGTTTTTAACTTATTATGTCTATCTCGTAGTTCAGAAAATGTTGATGCGTCAAATACACGAATCAAGAAAAATCAGTAGGTACACTCAACGAACTTTAATTAGAAAGCAAAACAAGTTCGAAATGTTTGCGGATAAAGTTTCGAACAATTAAGCCCAAAGCTACTCTCGCGTCGATCGATATAACAAATGTAGCAGGATAGTGCTCACCAACTAGTTTGATCCTTTCAGTCGTTCTCATTAAGGAGGCTGACAGGTTCTTCTGAGAAAAGGAAATGTTAATGTTTATTTTAATAATTGTTGATTTGTTACCCAAGCGCTATGACATATCCTTCTTCAAACGAGGCTTGTGGAGAGTACTTAACGGTAGGCAGCGGCTTGGCTCTGCCTTGCTGAAGTACATGGGCGACGGTAACCACTCACAATCAGGTGGGCCGTATGCTCGTCTGCCTACAAGGGCAATAAAAAAAGCTTCGACTAACCCGGTGGTGAAGTAGTTATCGCTGTTTTATTTTTATATTTTATTGATTAGATCAGCCTTTCTGAAAGTGGGCGATAACGCCCCCTTGCGGGCGCTGAAGGCCTAAAGGGGGGTGGTAAGAAACCCAGAAAAAAATGGGTGTGTTGTGTAGAGGCTTGGGAAGCGATTTGTAATTTCATCTAGGTGAACCCTTTGATACCGACTGGGCTCTTGCTATAGTGGTTTTTAAATAGGTGAAAAATTAGGGCGCTAAAAATAATTTATTCTCAAAGTAGGTAGTAGACAAAATAAGTTTGAGAGCCCCTGGCTTAGATGGATGGACGAACTTACAACGTAAATGAAGCCACTCAACTTGAGATGCGAGTTCTAAGGTCCTTATAGTACCACGGTTCCCCCATCTTCCAAACCGAAACGCATTACTGCTTCACGGCAGAAATAGGCAGCGTGGTGGTATTCAAATGAATTCTTTAAAAGTCAAAAGTATCAAAACTGTTTCGTTCATTGACATAGGTCAAGCAGGAGACAGGGTGGCTTCGAATTTAGCTGGACACCGCTGATGGGGTGCGTGTAGCCGCCCCCTAATCGTCCTTTTACGTAAACGAAAAAGCATCCGAGGGTTAATTGCATGTCCGAACCATCCATTAAATTGTTATTGGATAGCAATTTCAAGCAACTACATTATTGTTCACTTTTATTTTTATAAATCATTCTTCTATACTTTTATTTGTCACCGAACACCTCAATGGTTGAATTGAGTTAGTCTTTGGTGGACTTATGGACTTTCTATTGGCGCCGGGAGATGGCGCTGCGATAAAAATTCCAAGGCTTTTTTGTTATTTTCAAGCAACGCCTTCCGCTAAATTATTTAGCCCAGTGTTTCGTTTTTTATTTATTTATTTTTTCCTACCTAAGCTGATGGTCTAGTCAGATCATGTCAGCGCCATCGGGCTAGTAGGCGAGCGCACGGGGCTCAAACCTGACAATGTTGTTAACACTAGCCTTAGCAAGAGCCGTGCTTCGCAGAATCTACCGCCGAATCGGAAACGCGTCCCACTGAGAAGATACGGCGAGAAACTCAGTGGGCTGTGTCTCTGGGTTAATTTACTCGTCGAGTCCTTCGTCGCAAGCGACGGTTTTGGCAAGGACGGTGAACGGTGCTTGAGGTACCTAAAAGCACGGTTTGTGGATCGGGAGGATCCGTAATGATCCGTAATGTTTAGGGCGTTTCCGCTCATGCGTTCATTTGAAAGCTTACAAACTTCACGCTCGTAAAGTTTACTCTTGAAGGAGCTTAATGTTAGTTCGACGTCTTGACTAGACTACAAATATCGACTTGCTAATTATCAGTACATTAAATATTGAGTGTGCATTACACGAATATTTAAAGAAATATAAGAAAAAGAAAATTCATGAGGCAATTATTAACAAAACCTATATTAATATTATAAATTCGTAATTTAATTTTTTCGTTCGTTACAAATCAACCGAACCGCACATTTTATGGCGCATAGAGTATGACTTACATACGGTAACTTTTATTGATAAAAAGGGACTATTCCCGAAGGAACGGAAAATCTCTTTTAGACGACAATAACAACTCGACTGATATGGAATTATTGCAACAAGATGCCTAGACTACAGAAAAAATATAACAGCTTAGCTATATCCCGAAAGGATAACTAATAAGTATTGAGAAATTTTTTAAAATGTCTTGCAGTACTAGTTGCTGTAAAGGTCCGAAAATGATTAAATGACAATAAATAGGGGGACTTTTTTTTCTTTCTTTTTATCGTACCTTTGCTGATAGTCTTGAGAGGTTATAAAAGCGTTACCTAGCGTGTAGGTGAGTTCTTGGGGCTCAAATCGGAGGCGTTGCTAACACTGGCCCTAGCCAAAGCGGTGCTTCGCAGAATCTACCACCGAACCCACTGAGATGATCCGGAGAGAAACTCAGTGGGCGTATCTGTGGGAGGGGGACATTAAAGTCTATCATACTCGTTGCCCGTAGAGAAATGCTCACATTAACAATCAGCAAGGGCTGCAGGAGTATCTTAAGGAAAAGACATGCTTTTCTCATGATCGGCTAGGTATAGTATGTAACACGTTAGCGGAGTACATTATACCCAGAGTTTGTATATCTTAGCGCGAAATCGAATGAAAAAATAATATTTATTATATTATAGCAGAGTCTTAGAACCTAATCCGTGCTTAAACTGATTGCATAAACTACATTGTGTGCGAGCGTCGCTGTGGACAGAACATAGTAACTATGTACTAATTTAATATGAAGCCAAAATTATATTCATTTACTAATTTATGAAACAAAAAAAAAAGAAGAATAGGTCTACATTTCATGGTCTAGCAAATTATAGTGAATTTTCCCTTTCCCTTCAAACATACGACGTTTGACCTCATTCGACTTTAATTGTTTAAATAATTTATAGTTAAAAGACTCTTTGGCGTTGCTGCCCCAGTTCTGTTCTGACGCTCGCTCAACGCCTAATTCCCAAATATTCGTTTGAGAGTGTGTCGGACTAAAGTGTCTTCACTTTTATTCCCCTTTAATCTCATGGCCCATTCGGTATTCATTGATTACTTCAGCTCAAACACATCCCGCCACCACCATGAGACATGAGGTTTGACTCGCAGATGAAAAGAATAACGACTGGCCCACTATTCAAACCGGCGACTGCGACAAAAATACGCTCAGTGGTGGTACCTACCCGTGTGGGCTCACAAGATGGTCTACAACCACGACAGCTCCATTTTTTCCAAATATATCGCAATTTATGATGAAAAAAAAAACAAATAATCACTGCAACCTTATCAATTCCACTTCATTAAAGTGAATAAAAACAAAATCGTCTCCGTCTCTTATATTGTCCGATGTGGATACAGGGAAAGCGACTAAGCTAATAAGCTACCCGCTGAACTGTAAGCGATGTTTTTTTACATTTTTTTTCCAGTTCAATGCACACTATGGTTGTAAACATGGGACATACTGTACATACAATATCTATTAACACATACAGATATTGTGTGTCGCCAAAAACATTAAATTGAATTAATGTAGTGTCTCTTTAAGCTTATGTTACTTTAATCTTTACTTATAGTATTTTTTTGTGTGTATGTAGACGAGCATACGATTCGCCTGATGGTGAGTGGTCACCGTCGCTAATAGACATCAGCAATGCCATAGGCTCAGGCTAGCGGATATCTGCTGCCAAGTACTCTTCTCAAACTTCGAACCTCGATTTTTAAAGTCGTCGTGGCCTAATGGATAAGACATCTAGTGCATACGTGTTGAGCGATGCGCCAGTGTTTGAATCTCAGGCGGGTACCAATTTTGCTAATGAAATACGTACTCAATAAATTTTCAGGATTAACTTCCACGGTGAAGGAATAACATCGTGCAATAAAAGTCAAACCCGCAAAATTATAATTTGCGTAATTACTGGTGTACAGTAATGTGTTTCGGTTTGAAGGGTGTTGCAGCCGTTGTAACTATATTTGAGACGTTAGAACTTATATCTCGAGGTGGGTGGCGCATTTACGTTGTAGATGTCTATGGGCTTCAGTAACCACTCAACACCAGGTGGGCTATGAGCTCGTCCACCCATATAAGCAATAAAAAAAAAGAAATCATAGCGCTCAGGAAATACCGTGGAGTGAAGTTCATTCCAAAGCCGGACAGTGCATGTGGCAGTACATATTTATTATGTGTACTCGTAATCAATATGTTATTCAAGCGATTAAAAACAACTGTTAGTAGTCCTTTTTATAAAATACTATGGTTTTTTATCACGATTTTGTTGGCTTTTTTTTTGATAACGACATCTTGTTGTGTCTTTAAAGTGGTTAGTTGCCCTCAATTAAGAAAAATAGTATTATTATTCGCCAATAGAGGTCGGGAAGAGTTGATTATTGAAAAAAAGGAATAAAACAACATTTTCTGAAAATAAATTGTAGCTAGATCGATTTATCGCCCCCGAAATCCCCTGTATACTAAAATTTTATGAAAATCGTTGAGCCGTTTCCTAGATTCAGATTATATATATATATATTAATATATAAGAATTGCTCGTTTAAAGGTATAAGATGTTTAAAGAGTGCTAAGGATTAGAACAAAATCAAAGATATATGGTGATTCAATTTATTTTTATATTGGTAACTGTTTTTAGCGTATTACCATTGTTGGCATATCATTCAAGGACTTGATACAGACTTCAATATTCCTACCTACTTCAAATTTCGTTATAATAAATCCAATTTCCAACTCACCAGTGTCAAAATGTTCATCGTGATTTTCGACATAAAATCCTTGTAAAGTATGTAGTAAATTCGTTTTCAATGTTTTTAAGTTCTTTAGAAAATGACATTAAAATTGTCATCTACTTATATAAAAATCTATGCTACGTATGTAATATTTGTCAACGTTGTTTTTAAGGTGTGAGCCGTAACCTTTTTACTGAAATGGATTTACTTAAAATATATTTAAAAAACGTACGCGTATTTTTGATATTCAATATTGAAGTAAAAAAAAAAAACCTGTGGCACTCGGGAAATGCCGCGGTAATGCTATTGCATAGCATTTTTTATCAACTTATGCAATTATAATTAGACAATGATAATTTAATATTAAAGCAATAATAAAATAAGACCACGCTATATTAAACAATAATAAAAGCAAAACCTTAACTGTCCCCTTCACACTCAGAAGCTAGACCGCGCGAGAGAGAGATGGGCAGACTTTTCATGATGCGCATGCAGTGTGACGTCACGCCACGCGCTTATTCACAAACACTACACAAGCGCAACGTGTGAATGTGTTGAACGTGAGCTACATGGTAGGCGGAGTGAGGGATGTAAGGTTTTTTTCGTTACGGAATTTCACGATTCGGTCGCCGCGCTCAAGGTCTGCGATAAAAGCTATGCAATAGCTTAAAAAAATTATCGGAAATTAAGGCATCAATCTTTGATTAGACATCAGGAACAAACATAGTCTGCCCTTTTAACGTAACTGCGATCGAATCTAATCCAAACACAGCGAGTCGCACTGTTTAATTTCAGATGCAAATGTGTCCGTGCTTAAATCGTTCTGCGGTATATGCAACTAAGGAGTTAAAATGGTTTTGGGTTTAGACGCCTTGATTCCACTCGAATTTACTAATTTGCATACGGAATATTGTTATCTCGTCTCGTATTTGTTATTTCCGGCAACGTTATAAAGAGAAAATTCTTTTATTTATTTATTGCTTAGATGGTTGGACGAGCTCACAGCCCACCTGGTGTTAAGTGGTTACTGGAGCCCATAGATATCTACAACGTAAATGCGCCACCCACCTTGAGATATAAGTTTTAAGGTCTCAGTATAGTTACAACGGCTGCCCCACCCTTCAAGCCGAAACGCATTACTGCTTCACGGCAGAAACAGGCAGAGCGGTGGTACCTACCCGTGCGGACTCTCAAGAGTTCCTACCACCAGTAAAAACTCAAGGACGTCAATAATTATGAAAAATGGTATCTAAATAGTTTTAAATGAAAAATAATTACAGTTAGAAATGGTAGTGGTCTTTGGTTTGTACTTGGACAAAGACTATGCGACTATAAAACTGAATGAAGATAGATGATGATGTCTTGACGTGACCGATACTGCTCACGTAACATAAATCACAATTATCTAATAATTGAAGAAATGCTTTTTCGTCTAGGTAGGGCCCTGTTTGGTTCTGAAAACACTACCTACTGGTGGTAGATCGTCTTATTGGTGGTAAGACGTCTTGTGAGTTCGCATGGCTAGGTACCACCACCCTGGCTATTTCTGCCGTGAAGCAGTAATGTGTTTTGGGTTGAAGGGCGGGGCAGTCGTTGTATTGTTACAACTGAGACCTTACGACTCGTGTCTCGAGGTTGGTGGTGGCATTTATGTTGTAGATATCTATAGGCTCCGGTAAATACTTAACACCAGGTGGGCGGTGGAGCTCGACCACCCATATAAGCCATAAAAATTAAAAAAAACTTCAGAGGTGTCAAGGGACACCCGGATGGAACGAAGTTCCTTTCGATTAATTAGTGAAGGAATTGTAATTTTTTTTTTAAGTTATAATAATAAATTACGGCATTATGAAGAAGAAAAAAACAATACTATGAACTAAATTACTATTGTTGAAACGCTATCTCGAGAAACTGTACTCATTACGCGGGCCAATCGGATACGAGCAATGTCACGCGATAAGCGCCTACACGTTGATTGGTCAGAATGACGGATCTAAAAAGTGTCGTGACAACTTTTCGTAAGAATTTTTTCCGTCTAGCCCCCTTTCACAACGCGCGATAAGGAACTTCGTTCCAATATATTTAAGTATAAGCTTTCGTGGCCTAACGGTTAACACACCCGAGTTATGCGATTATGTCAGAGTTCAAATGCCATATGTAAGTACAAATGATTCTAAGGAAAAACATATCTAGTATATGTTCACTCTAGATGGCCTTCCACGATGAAGGAAAAACATCTTAATTACAATCAAATCTACAGAAATGAAAAAAAAGTGTGTGTGTGTGTGCCAGTCACACACGGTAGAAGTGAAACTTATAAATATGATATAGATATACTGACTATCTCACTACACAGGAGCATACATATGGACAATGTTTAGTAGACGATAGTGGGGATGCTACGAAGAGTCGCACAAAGAGGAGACCGAGAACGTCTAATGTGTTCTATCTCATTCTCTCGCCTGCTGAATCCTATACATTTATGTGTTTGTGTCTCTATGGACTTATTTTTTCGTTTCATCGAGTTTGAAATCACAACGATTCTAAAGAAGTTTCACTTCAATAATGTAATAAATAAATTAGCGTATAATTGTTATTTCTACTTAATGTCACAAGGTTGACGGTATACACGTTGAGGTGTCTATGGTAAGCACTATACATCGGATGAGTTGTATGCCGGTATAGATTAACCACTAAGCTACAATACTTCAACAGGTCCGCCGAGAAGAAAATCAGAATCGCATGGGACTCTCACGCTGCTTCAGGTATCATGAAAGCAAATTGAAATCAGAACTGATTTGCGTGTTCACAGTCGTTTATGGACATCAGCAATACGAGAAACAAAGACAAGTCTGCGGAATTACTCATCTTTAAATTTCTCGTATGACAATGTTTCTCTATCGTATTGATAGATTGCTGTTTGGACGTATTTTATTTTTAAAAGGAAACTGCGTTATTAGTTCTTCTCATTTACTACCTGTACCTTAGTCTCGAAGTTTCCAGATTTACTGACCCTTATATAACATATTAATTTTTTTCTTTGTTCGTAATACCGGTTGAACGCGGTTAATTAATAAATACACTTTAAAAACGATACAAAAGAGTTCACATTTTATTTGTTACAAAGGTAGCGTGAACAGATATTATTACGTGGGGCACAAGAAATTTAACGAGATTGAATGAAACCAATTGAATTAGTCTTCAGCTATCACCTGGTTGGTGATAGCAGCGTTTCCGTTTAGACTAATCTGATTATATCTGGATATAAGTCGATTACGTCCGGAAACGATGTTCAAGACAATTTATTTTCGTTTTTTTAGATACGTCTTTGTAATCGGCGAGATGTATGTTTTTTGTATCTATGTTTTTTTTTTATCTTTATAAGCAGACGACCATACGTTTAGAATGTTGAGTAATCTTAATGATTATGGACATAAGTAACGCCAAGAGCCCAGCCAAGCCCCTATCCATTACTGAAAATAATTTTTTAAATATTTTTTTATTAAAGTTGAACATGCCGTAATTCTAAGGATATGCCAGCTTCACCCTAAGTTTATCCTTACTGGTGGTAGAACCTCTTGTGAGTCCGAGCGGGTAGGTATCACCACCCTGCCTATTTCTGCCGTGAAGCAGTAATGCGTTTCGGTTTGAAGGGTGGGGCAGCCGTTGTAACTATACTGAGATCTTAGAACTTATATCTCAAGGTGGGTGGCGCATTTACGTTGTAAATGTCTATAGGCTCCAGTAACCACTTAACACCAGGTGGACTGTGAGCTCGTCCACCCATCTAAGCAAGAAAAAAAAAGTTTTTAATTAACTGAACTGTTGGTTCGATAACCAGACAGAGTCAATATCTTTGTTAACCATTATTTTTTCTTGTTTCGAATGTCGATATTTCAAGATCCCCTGGGAAATAAGAAAAGTCAAGATTGTGGCCGGTGCAAGTTAGTTGATAGCAATAAGGTTGAGATGTAATATCGTATTTTATTTACTACTACGCATGCCGTTAATGAGAAAACCATCCATAGGGTATTATTTCGTGCTTATTTTGTTGATTATAAAAAAAGGTAACCCTAGAGAATCCAATATGTGTATTTTTGCCGATGGGCGATCGGGCCAGGCTGTCGGATTAGACGACAACCGACCAAACCCCATTGATCACTCTCTCCGGACGTCCGATCCCCGCCCGAGACCAAATCATATATAAAACCATACCATGTGTGTGTCGTCTCTGACAAGACCGCTGTCAGGGGCGGTGTGGCTTTGACGGTGTCTTTAGATATCGCCAACGCGTTCAACACTCTGCAGTGGTCGGTAAGCGAGAGGGCGCTCGTGTATCTCGGCGTCCTTGTGTACCATCAGCTGATCAGGTCCTCAAGGAGAGGTCGGTCAGCACAGGATAGATGTGACACGGTGGTGGGGTGTTTCGTTTTCTGGGAGAGCGCAATGTTCCACAGGAGTCGGTCTTTGGTCCTCTCTTGTGGAACACCTGCTACGACTGGGTTCTACGGAGCACCCTTTACAGTTCTCTTCCTAGGCGGCCACTGTACGGAGGTGCACCTTGATCCGCAAGATCGTCGTGGTACCCCAACTATCGCGGCGTGCGCTCGTGATAGGAGGCATCCTCCTTCTCGGTGAAGGCTACCGGGGACAGCGGTTCTACAGAACTGATATACCTAAAAGAGCGAGTCTGTACTTCAAAATCATAATTAATAAAACATACTTTGGATATGAACTATTTATTTATGTATTTTTACAGGTAAACATTAGTTGACGATATGTGTTAAGGAAACATCAATAGTAATCTAGCTCGACTAACAACGATAAGTATCTTTCTATATAACCCATGTAGTTTTACAAAATCAATTTCTTCAATTGTCAGCCCACTTCAGACCAACTTGACTAAATTGAATTCGATTCACAATCAAACTACGTCTGGATCCGTATTAAAATGCAAAAAATAATCTAGCGCGGAATCGTCGAGAAAAGGAAATTGAACTTCGAAGGGAAATAAGCCACAGAGCCGATTCCGCTGAGAG